GTCTTCCTTATATTGTAAAGCGCTGCGCAAACAGGCAGTGGCGTCACTAGGGTGGTGCGGGTGACACCATTGGAGGGGGTGACACCAAAATGACTGACAGTCATTCTGGTGCCAACCCCCTCAGAAAAGTCGGGCACTCGGTCATGGACCAAGAGTCCGACAGTTGTTCAATAGGACCCAACAACATACCTTATCCTGAGGGGTGAATGTCCCCTCCTCTCTCTGCCGGCGTCCATCACCAAGCTGGCCGCTGGCAGGTAACAGCGCATGATGTCACATGTTTGCACGATGACGTCATGGTGGGGTGTCACCCAGTACCCGCTCTGGGTGCCACCATGCCTCGGGACGGCCCTGCAAACAGGTGGCGCTATATAAACCCTGAATAATGATAATAATAATATAAATGAAATACTGACTTTCTATTATTTGCCTAGAATTATGTAATGCAGTGCTCAGGCCTGTTGATTGGCATTGAGTACTGCTTGTGGGAGATGTGCATGCTCCATACCCTGCTTTCCTTAGGAGGCTTCAAACTGCAGGTTCTCAAGGATGGTTTTAACGTCAAGATAGGAACAGCTTGTTGTGCCTTCTCTACAGCATCAGTCGGTGCTGGATGCGACATGGCTGATCACATGCCGTAAAAGCGAGCAATGAGCTCTTGCTGAAGCTTCAGTTAATCTGCTCTTTTGTTTTTCAGCGATCAGATTTGCAGTTCTCATCCACCATCATTAGAGTGCTGGCAGTCACATGACTGTACTGTTTACAATCCTATGAGACAGGGCCAGCACTAATCAAAGTAGATGGAAGCCTCAATACATTCCCAAGCACAGTCTAACACAAGGCTTTCTATACAGAATGGGGATATCAGGCTTCAGGCTGTAGAGAAGAGAAAGCCTCCAACGTCCCCCGTAGTGGCTAAGAATTGCTAAGGCTTAAAGTGTATTTCCACTTTTGCAGCCAAATTGGGATAACACATACTTTATATTTGTGATGTTTCCATTCGCATTGCATTATCTACAAAATTATTTAAAAATTCCTTACATTTTAAGTGCTTTTACTTGCTTAAAAATCCTACCTGGCTTCCGCCATGTGTAATGCTATAGGGGGGGCTGTGGGAAGTTATATTTACTATAAATGAACCCTGTCTGTTCTGTTCTGTTCTGGCAGATCTCATTATCAGCTGTGAACTAGGATCTAAGAGCTCATTGCCTACTTTTACTGCATGTGGTCAGCCCAGTATGTGTACTGTAATGATAGGGTCACAATAAGATTGCCATTGAGGTTAGATTATTGTTGCCTGGTCATCCCATATGAACCCTTCAGCTCCCCACGGGAACCGTCACCAGTTGGTCTTGGTTGGGGAATGACAATCAGGATGGTTGTATTTTCCTGGTGAATGGTGGGACTGTTGTGCACAAATAATCTACAGATGGGCCTTCTCGTTATACAGGGGCCTAACTGTAGATCATGGGGCCCCTCAGCAACTTCCGTACTGTGATATTAAAGCCAGGTAGCATGAGTGCAGTCTGCAGTTTCTCCTATACATCTGATGTCAGCTCTTCCTGATTGGAAACGTCACAGGAGGTACAGGGTCAGTATTAGGGATCTACCAATTTATCAGATCTACCAATAATCGGGGCAGATATTCTCAGATTTTTAAATTATTGGTTAAATATACAGATATTACAGATAATAAACACTGTGTGAATCTTGCACAGTGGGTGTCGCTGTCTGGCCAGCCTTCCTTGATCAGCTGATCGAAGGAGACGGTCAGAAAATCTATGTAGAAACAGAGTCAACAGCCTCAGAGCTGCTAGCTCTGTTTGAGTATTCTTAAGAATACAAAAAAAACAGCAGATAGCAGGGGAAGTAATAGCCAGCCTGCTATTGGCTATTGCAATAGCCAATAGCAGGCTGGATATTGCATTCCACTGCCTGCTGTCAATCAGCATAGGAGCAGACCTGAATAACTTTTTGTTCCTCTGTTGATTGACAGCAGGCATTGGGTGGGTTTAATTCCCAGTCGGCTATTGCAAAATTGAAATAGCCAATAGCAGGCTGGTTATTTCACTGCCCATTGCCTGCTGTTTACATTCAGCTGCCGGCACAGAATCCTGCCACAACATCTATTGTTGGGCTATTGGAGTGCCGGTGTCCATTCTTCTATTCATGTACTGAGGCGGTAGCCATCCGTCGACATCCGACGCACCCACTTTATATTGATGGAGCAGAGGTTCTGAGTGCAGCGGGTATATGGACTGTATCAGGAGTGGGTCTGTGGCGCTCCCTCTGGCCCGCTCAGCGTAGATCATGCAGGAATGGGAACAGTGACAATACTAAAACTTCATGGAAGTGCTAAGGAGCAACAAAGTGTATGTTCGGGCATTACCCAATGTACCCATAAATCCCCCTCGAGCACACCCCAACATTCATTTTTATTAGGGATGTCCCGATACCGATGCTAGCATCGGAATCGGGCCCGATACAGGGCATTTTGACAAGTACTTGTACTTGTCAAAATTCCCCGATGCCTAGCGCCGAAGTTTGCGCTATGGTTTTTTTTTTCTTACTTACCTCGCCGAGCGTCACTGCTGCTCCGGTGGGCGGAGCTCCAGGTGGGGTCCTAATTTAGTTGGCCGGAGACTGCGAGATGACCCCGCTTGGAGCGCTGCCCACCGGAGCAGCAGTGATGCGACGCTCGAACCCCAACTGGCGCTCCTCCCAGTGGACCAGCGCTGCCGCTGACTCGTCCCTGCTCTCTCCGGCACAGTGAGTGAGGGCAGATTTGAGGGGGGGGGTTCTATTAAGCAACTACCGTATATATTGCCTGCACTGTATTAGCAGTATATACGGTACTCTATATGTACTACAGAGTACATATAGAGTACACACTGCTAATACAGTGCAGACAATACATTTACAATTATACTAACATGAATGGATTAAATGATCTGTATGTAGCCCTGTACTATGGATCATTTAACCCATTCATGTTAGCAGAGGATAATTGTAAATGTATTGTTGCAGGCACTCTATATGTACATGTACTATATACTACATATAGAATGCACTGAACAATAGATTTACAATTATCCTCTGCTAATATGAATGGGTTAAATGATCCGTAGTACATGATATGTAGCCCTGTACTACGGATCATTTAACCCATTCATGTTAGCAGTGCAGAATTGTATATCTATATGTACTGTACATATACAGCACAAATGTCCCGTACATTGCAGCAATAGATTTACAATAATCCCCTGCTAACATGAATGGGTTAAATGATCCATAGTACAACAACATGTTATGTACTATTATGTACTATGGATCATGATTTAACCTATTCATGTTAGCAGGGGATAATTGTAACTCTATTACTGCAGTGTTGGACGTATGTGCTGTATATGTATTATGGATCATGATTTAACCCATTCATGTTAGCAGGGCAGAATTGCGAGCGCCTCCCACAAGTTGAGCACCGAGATGCGATGCAGCGATCCTGCCCAGCGCCGACTACAAGAGGCACCACGTGAGGCAACAGGGATCGACGTGAAACTGTGAGTAAGGGAAGCTGGGATGGGGCTGGCTGTAAATCTATTGCTATAGTGTACTGGACGTGTGTAATGTATATGTAGTGCATATATACAGCACACACCTCCACTACACACCAGCAATATAGTTACAATTCTCTACTGCTAAATTGAATAGGTTAAACCATGATCCATAGTACATAACATGTAGTTGTACTATGGATCATTGAAAGTCACCTGTCCCTTTAAGAAAAAGTATTGGTAATTGGTATCGGCAAGTACATGAGGGGATGTACTTGTACTTGGGCCTGAAAAAGTGGCATCGGGACATCCCTAATTTGTATTACTTTGTTCCTGTAGTGAGACGCCACTGTCAATGCTCCCTGTGACATCATCACTAGGCTTGTAAAATGATTGCAGAGGATGATGTTGGAGTTAATTTCCTAGTGATATAGGCACACCCCCAGAACTACACCTCGCAAGAGCCCTTTCACTACACAGTATGTATATTTGGGAGTCAAGGCAGCAGTATTGTTTTCTAAAAGTGTGGATTGTTGTACATTAAAAAATAAATAAAAAAAATAAGACCTACACCAAAAATAAGACCCAGTGTGTTTTTTGGAGCCAAAAAATATATTTTTTGTGTCTTATTTTCGGGGAAACACGGTATCTTTCACACAGCCAAATGTGTATCCATTGACTTTAATAGAAAATGCATCAAGTAAAAAAGCAAAGGTTAGAATCTAGCTTTGTATATTTTTATGTAGGCCGGATTTACACCTTTGCGGTTTGCTTGTTGCGTTTTCCATTGACATTTATGCCTCGTATTTATATAATGCTGACAGAGTACGCAGCACTTTACATTCTACACATTCACACCAATCCCTGTCCTTACATTCCAAGATCACATGCACACGCGCACACGCGCACACACGGCCAATGTACACTGGAGCCAATTAACCTGCCAGCTTGTCTTTGGCGTTTGGGAGGAACCCATACAAACACAGGGAGAACATACAAACTCCATGCAGATGACCTAGTTGGGATTTGAACCGGGGACCCCCAGTGCTGTAAGGCAGAAGTGCTAATTAATGAAAACACTTCATAGTACATCACAATGTGTGTTGACATTTAATACAAAGTGCATCACAAATCAGGTTGAAGATATAGGGCAATGCATGTTTGCTTCTCAATGTTATGTATTGGGCGGGGGGGTCACTGATATTATTATGAGTTCCACATAAAAATCCCTGTAAAGATGTCAGCCTCCCATGTCTGTTATGAGTACATGAAATGGAAGGAATGTCCCCCTCTCTCCTCCAGCAGAATGGCCTTTGTCTGCGGCCCGGCCTGCTGAATGGGAGTCATCTCCCTCCAGCACCATCTGCCGCTCTAGGAATGTGCGCGGCCTCTTTAAGGACGGCCAGGAGGAGTTACTGTCTGTAGATAACAAAGCTCTCGCCATCCCCTTTAAGGCTCTTGACTTAAAGGGATGGTAAGGCCGCTGGAATGAGGCGCTATGGGGGATGGGAAGGAGCTAAAGATGGCTGAGCTTTTGCAAGCGAGGTGCACTTCAGTTGGCTGAAAGTTTGCAGGAGCGGACTGGCCCGGAGGGGACGGCCCGGCCTCGGTGTTCTGTGCGGCTGGGGAAGGTAAAATGATCCCGGCATAGCGGGAAAGTCCGGGCACGGCGCTGTGTGCAGGGGCTGGGTGACAAAGAGAGCCAGTGCTGCCCGGGGACAACAATGACTGGACAGCGGGGGCACGCTGGGGCTGTAGTAGGCCTGACATGTGCTGAAAGGCGCCGCCGGCCTGTACGAGGAGGGGAGTGCGGACTGTGTATTGTCCGGGGAGGACGGATGACCGGGGAGAAGAATGCGGGGCTGAGGGGTGGCAGCGGAGTGTATGGGGGAGCCAGTGTGTGTGTATGGGGGAGCCCAGTGTGCATGGTCAATGTGTGTATGGGGAGCCCAGGGTGCATGGCCAATGTGTGTGTGTGAGGGGAGCCCAGGGTGCATGGCCAATGTGTGTGTGAGGGGAGCCCAGTGTGCATGGGAAGCCCAGTGTGCATGGTCAATGTGTGTATGGGGAGCCCAGTGTGCATGGTCAATGTGTGTGTGTGTGAGGGAAGCCCAGTGTGCATGCCCGGTGTGTGTGTGTGAGGGAAGCCCAGTGTGCATGGCCAGTGTGTGTGTGTG